GCAAAGTCGCCTGAAGCCTTTGAGGGTGGGGTAAACTTTGCAATGAGAAGAACAGGTGCAATTGATTGATTGGGAGAGAGCACACTTTCCTAGTGTCACATTCCTTTAGACATGATTTGCTGAGTAATTTAGAGGTGGAAGAGTGGCACCATCATCCTTTACTTGAACAGGCAGACAAAGACAAGCAAGAAACACAACTATGCTGGCACCTGCCCTTGTCCTACTGATTCTTCCCTTACAGCACACTTCTGCACTAGGTGTTGAAAGATAGGACTTCAGGAGGATATGGACATGTATACCTTATGTACATAAAGCTATGCACATTGATCAGAATTATTGTGATCTGAAGTCAACACAAATTTAGGTTGCTTCTTTTTAGTCAGATAGTCAAGTCTGAAACATTTGGTTAATGTGCACAGGACTTCCACACGCAAAGTTGTAGAATTCCTAAAAAGAGAGAGAGAAAAAATAAGTACTCTTTGTTGGTATGCTTGTTACTACATCCATGTATTCAGATATATTGAGTAATATAAAATGGGCATGTAGTAAGTAATGTTGGGTAAATCCATACTCCATGTTCTAGAGGTCTTGAGGGTACTAAGGCATGACTAAGTGGGTAAGTTTCCATGTGTTGAGAATCTTGTGGTTGATTCTGAGTCATTTTGTGGAAAATGAATGTAGGCCACGGCACACCAACATGCCCTCCTTCTTCCTGCAGCTGCATTTATTTTTCTTGGCTCCAGTTGTGAGCTGTGGTGGGGGGAATCACTAACCTTTGTCATGGTTGACTCATGGGCCCCTGATACCTAATTCATGCTGAATAGTAGTGATACTCAATTAAACTACTGGAGTTACTGGTTTTTACTGGACATTGGAACAAACAAAATAGACGATAGATTATCTGAGGAGCGTCTTCCCCAAAGTTTAGGGAAAATGGAACGTAAACTTTGCATATGCGTTAAAAAATTAACAAGGCTGCATTTACTTTGAAGAAAACTATTAATGCAACACCCCTGTCCTAGTTAGGGTTACTACTGCTGCGATGAAACACCATGACCAAACACCAACTTGGGAAGGAGGAAAGGGATTATTTGTCTTACACTTCTGTATTACAGTGCATCGTTGAAGGAAGCCAGGACAGGAACTCAAACAGGGCAGGAGCTTGGAGGCAGGAGCTAATACAGAGGCCATGGAGGGGTGCTGCTTACTGGATTGCTCCTCATGGCTTGCTCAGCCTGCTTTCTTATAGAACCCAGGACCACCAGCCCAGGGGAGGCCCCACCTACAATGGGGTGGGCCCTGGGCCCTCCCCTGTCAAGCATTAAGATTGCCTACAGGTTTGCCTACAGCCCGATCTTATGGAGGCATTTTTCTCAACTGAGGCTCACTCCTCTCTGATGACTGTAGTTTGTGTCAAGTTGACATAAAACTAGCCAGTACAACTCCCTAAATTTGAATACAAGAATTTAGATGTGAGCTCATGCACACAACATTTATCAATATGATAGCAAGTGATAGCAATGGGAAAAAAAGAAGTTCTTGGTGGGACAAGGAGAGGACCTGAAGGTGACAGTCAGGTAGTTCGCTGGGATTGATTCCAGGATGAGTGTGGGCCCTTCCGCCATATTACAATGTCTTCAGCATTGGAATCTTCTCACTTGCTCCACTATCCCACCTGGTCTCCATAGGTTCCAATGGCAAGGTGGGTTTCCACCATTACCGGCAGAGACTGTATTAAGTTCTTAGGGCAGTTCCTGACAAGATGCTCCTTTTTTAAAGCCTGCAATAGTCACAGGTGGTTCTCTGTCTGGGAAAGCACTTGCGTTAGCACCCTCTCTGAGCTCTAAGCCAGTTTTCATTAGCCTGGGCTCCATTCTGTTCTATTTCTTCTCCAAAGAAAAGATTGTCACAGTTGGTCCTTTAAAATGACAGTTGAAGGGTTATAGCCAGAAAAATAACTGAATCTTGGTGGGGAAGGGAAGTATTTTAATTCTCTTAAAGTTAGGAAGTGGAATACATTTTAACCAGAGTCTCTGTGAGCATGGTAACTAAATTGTTGCTTTTCCTTCTAAATTCTGTGTCATATTCCAGTGCAGAATACAGAGCCACATTCCCTTGTTGCCCAAGGCCCTTGGGTTAGGCACTTTATTCCTCATACATCACCATGATGTCAGGCCAACCAGGAACATGCGTGTGTTTCCTTGACTCAAACCCCTAAGGACATGAGCTCAATCTAAGGGGGCTTAGAGGTTAGGGGTGTGTGTGTGTGTGTGTGTGTGTGTGTGTGTGTGTGTGTGTGTGTGTTGGGGAGGGGGTTGGTCTTTGGAGATGGGCATGGGAACTAAGATAAAGAATGTGACAGTAGCTGGCTAGAGATGGCTCAGCAGTAAAGAGCACTTGGTGCTCTTGCAAAGGACTGGGTTTGGCTCCAACGTGGTAGCTTGAAACTGTGTAAAGCTCCAGTTCCAGCAGATCTGGTGCTCTCTTCCTGAATCCCAGGGCATTGGGCATGAATGAATGCACTTACATACTTACAGGGAAAACATCTCTACACATAATTCTTTTAAAGGTGATGGTAGTAGGTAACTCTACATCCTCGCCAGAAGACACATGGTAGCTGCCTGGAGATTTTTAACGTGTGGACGTGTATGTATATAATTACATGCATTATAGGCAAAAGCTTAGATTTCCCACAAGTACAAAAAATTGACAAAAAATGCTATCGTTGTAATACAAAGGGATTGTATTGATATTTTTACAATGGTCCAGAAATACCTTTCTGGTTGTGATAACAGAGTTGCCTTCGAAATCCAGGGAGTAGAGGGCATTCAGACAAAACGGTTTGGGAAGGGAGCCAGCAAGGACCTGGCCACTAGAGTTTTCACTTTCGCATTAGAACTGAACAAAAAGAGCCTTAGGTTCATATAGAAAATTCAGAACAGGCAGTGCTTGACGTACGGTGGCCCAGAGTGGACACTCTTACCTATGAGGGAACCTCACAGAGGGCTTGCTGGGTTAGCCTTCTCTGCTCTCTGGTTTCCCTCTCCCCGGCACCACAGCTTGCTTTCTCCACTGCTGGAGTAGAAGAGAAATGTCCTCCAGTCTGCTCTCGGTACTGTTCAGTGAAAATATAGGGTTCGATAGGGAACCACTTCTCTGTCTGACCAAAGAACCCAGGACTCTTTAGAATGTTGTTCTATGGAAAGAGCACAAAGCTTCACAAACTTACGTGCAAGAGGAACATACACATTTGGACGCTAGAGTTTCCTGGGTGCCAGGCTGAAGGAGAATTTCAGATCTCTCTTTAAAAACATGCCACCTGGTTGTTGTGACCTTGGATATTCCCTGCGTTTGAATGAAAGAACTTAGAGATGGGTACTGTGGTCATGTCCTGTTCGGTGCTAGTCGGGTTGTTCTGCCCTTGGTGTTTACATTAGTTGAGCTAGTTTGATATTTCTCCTGAGTTCCAGTGATGCGCAGCTGGCTTGGGTAAGGTCCCTGGTCCTCTAGGGTAATTTCTCAAGGTTAGGCATTGGTGTTTCTCTCCCCCACGTCTTTAGTAGGAGACACCTCTCTTAAATATCTTCTCAGAGAGCATGGGCCTTGATGGCAGATGCAGGTCTTGAGCCCCACAGCAAGTTCATTTGGTGGCAGACACATGGAGATGTTGCACGCATTGTTACCTATGCTTCCTGTGCAGTCAGCAAGGCCTGCACTCAAGATCGTTGACTTCACAGAGGACTGGGTGGTAAGAAGAGTCAGTAACTCTAATGCAAAGAGTCTTTGCTGCAGTGAATTAAGTCGTTAAGCCAAAGTACCACATGCCTAAGCTTTCACGAAAAGTGTTTCAGTGGCAGTTTAGGAAGAAAGAAAAGGGAGATTTTTTAGTCAAAGATGGCAAGGCTTGATATTTCAAAAGAGAAGCATCCAAGTGGGCCTTCTGGGAAAGATAAGAACTTTGCAGGACACTTTTCTACATACTTTAAGCTTTGGTAGTGTTTCTGTTTTGAAGGACACGTGCGTGAGGAGGAGTCTGTTGTAACATTTGGGTGCTTAGGGCCCGTGAAGGCATCCGGTTGGCCCTGAGTAAGTGGGCAGGGGAATGAGGGAGCAGAGGGCTCCTCAGCCTCCGGTGTTGCATGATGCCTTGGTGGTTGCAGGTTGCAGCGCTGCGCCCACCAGTATGCAGACTAATGCATGAGCCCCCTGCTTGATGCCCCACATGAAGCCAGACCGTGGGGAGGTTAGAGCCGACTCACGTTGTTGCCCTGTGGTGTCTTGCTGGTTTTCCTCTCTCTCTCTCTCTTCAAGCACAGGAGCCACTTTTTAGGAGACTGGACACTGTGAGCAAGGCATTTGAACTTGCTTCTCTCACCAGAGCTAAACTGCTGCGTTGGCTGGGCTAACCCGGGCATGTGTCCATTCTCCTGAGTGTACCGCCTCCCTGTGCGCTCTGTCTGCCACCTTTCCGCCATGAAAAGTGCTTGTTCCATAGTTGGCTACGACCTCACACACCCAAGGCAGAAAGAACCAGGCACAGCAAGGTTGGGTTTTTTTGTTTGTTTGTTTTTGTTTTTTGCCACCTTGGTGAGAGCCTGGTGAACTCTGGAGGCTTGGAGGAAACAACTGCGAGTTTTTCTTAATTCTCTTGGGAGGAAATATGGAAGAGGCAGGCTATCCTACAGAACGTCTCCTCTAATGAACTAGCAATGATGTTTGCTTCTAAAATTAGGCCAATTTGTGATTGAAAGTGAACAATTTGAAGTTTCTCTGGATCTTCCCCAAAGAGTGTCATCTTGTGGGGAAGTATGACGACATTCCAAAACGTTAGCTCTTCTGTGTTTGGGGTCAGTTAGGAGACTGCCTCCGTGTGAGCTCGTGACTCCACTCTGGAACTAGCATCATTGTCGTTGTGGGCGTTCATCTGTCACTGTCATCTGATTAATACTGTGGCTTTTCTCTCCCTCTCCCTGCATCTTCTTTTTAATGTCCTCTGGAAGAAACGTCAAGAAGAGGAGGTTCGATCCCACTCAGCAGGGCCCCATCTGAATCAGCTGCACTGGAGGGATGCCACCTTGCACTGTTGGGTTCTGGGTATGACGTGTTTTCAGTCATGCTGCCGGAACTCCTAAGTCTGTAAACAAGACCATTGGGTGGTAATGACTGCACAGCTCAAATGTGGGAATGGGGAATGGGGTCCAAGACAACTGTCCCTTTTGGATATAACTTCAAGTAAACCCTCCTATCACCTGTCAATAAAGGGGAGGGGTTAAAGACCATGTCATTAAAAAAAAAAACTTCAAAATCCTTTATTTTTTTCTTTTTAACTGAAGGAGAAAGGAACAGCAGAAAAGTGCAATAAAGGAACATGTAGCAAATGGTTTCCCCCTTAGCCTGCTGACACTTAATATCTTCTAAGTGATTTGGCATGATTTTTTTTCCCTTTACTATCAAAGACAAACTCCAGTGGCATGAAGATCCAATTTTGGAAAGGGTAAAAACTGCATGGCATATATAACAACAAGCTAGCAAGCCGATCTTCAGCAAAATCTACCGTGGAAGTCCTAAGGGGAAGATGAGAGATGAACACGCAGACGCTGCCTGGGCCTGGATAGTGCACCCCCCCCCACACACTCCATCCCCCTCGGCTCTCTCTCCCTCCACTCCATGTCCCCGCCCACTCCAGCCCAGCCCAGGGCAGCACTCAGCCGGACTGTACTCTTGTTGATGCTGTTTCCCCATCATGTTCTCTCCTGGACCAAGCATCCTTTGGAAATGGGAGCTGGAATTGGAACAATGCTATTGTATAGTCCTTTTATAAATGTAAATATGGAAATAAGAGATTTTGACATGCCATTTCCACTTGTCTGTATTGAAATGTTTTTCTTTGCAAAGATTCTCTCTACACAAGTTTGTTGCTTGCTCCACATCCTCTTTTTCCTTTCTTTTCTCTCATTTTCTTTCCTTCTCTGTCCTCTCTTATAACACGTCAAGTGATTGCTGGGCTTGCTTAACAAGACAGATGTAGCCCCCAGATGAAGGTTGTTTGGGCACAGAACAAAGCTAGTCTGCTTGAAACCAAAAAGAAAAAAAAAGTGGAGGACACAAAACAACCCATATCAAGAACACAAATTATGTAAATGTGAGTATATATGTACTGATGAGTCTAAACTTTATGATGTCATCCTAAGCACATGTATATAATGTAAGAAAACAGAGGCCCTTCTCAAATTAATCACAAAAGTGCCAAGCTCATGATTTTAGTTTGTGGTTTAGCCAGTTCTCTTTCCCTGTCTTAAATGTGAAAGGAGAAGAAACTTAAAGCCTTAAATAAAAATTAATAATTTGTACATGTTGAAAGCTTGGAGAAAAGTTAAGCTCTCCATTCTGTTCCTATGTATTTTTTTTTTCGGTCAAATTTCCTTTCTGCTTCATCTTTCTGCCTCAAAACCTGCGTGACAGAAAGCCAGTGTGGTGGGGCAGAGTAGCAGGTAGCCTTCTGGTCATTTCGGCCTGTCATTGGGCATGGTGATTTCGGGAGCTCACTTGGTCCTCACTGATTTTCTGACCCATGGACTCTGGTGGACTGTGATGGGATTCCACTACAGAGGAACCCACACTCTTCATTTTCCTCCAGTAGCTGGGGAGAGAGAGCCTTGGCATCCCCAAACTCTCCGAGTTTCCCTCATCTTTTACCCGTTTCTTTTTTAACGTATTGCCAGGATAGCTTCCACTGAAGTGTTAGGGGGAAACAATTCCTGAAGAAATTCCCTCCCGGCTTTGTTTTAGATGTCCAGACTTGTGCATGATAGCTTCAGGGAACCGCTCTCTAGAACTCAGACCCCCAAGAGCCCCGACTGCCCCACAGCCCCTCTTTCAGGAAGACGATGTCCAACTGAACTATGCATTTCCTCCCGGCACTGCATTCCTTTCTACATTTAGCTCTAAACCCTTTTCCAGCAAGACTCATGCAGTAAGTTTTACAAATTTTTTTTCAAGTAGAAGGGAGGATTTCCTGAAAATGGATGGCTTAGAACTGGAGTTACCCCCCCCCCCCGCCTTCCTCCAAAGATACCTTTGGTTATTGAAGTTTCACACTCACAGGGCAGACTTCACGATTGCTATATACTACCCCACACCATAACCTAACATCGTAATCCTCGAATGGCTTTCTGAGAAACAGGTGCTATACAGGTATGCAGTCTTTGGCTTGAACTTGCTCTTTGCTTCTATAGCAACAACAGGGCTACCTATAAGGTGTCTTGACCTTATCCCTGGTTTTGTAAGACGCAGATTGTGCCCCTTTACTGAATGGCAGTGGCTCAGCTTGGAGGACGGTTGGAGGAAGCTCAGATGACTTGGTATCTCTCCCTGTTGTTGCATTGCTTAGGGGTCCACTTCACTATGAGATACCAAGCAGCTGCCAACCACACCGTACCCATTTCACTGCTGGTTCCGAGGCACCGTGGTGACTTTATTTGACACAAAACCACGCCCGTTACAAAACAGATCTCCATTGTTAACTTTTGAGCATTTCACAAACAACATTGTAAATGTGCGATGTTATGTTTTAAATCAGACCACAGTGGTCCCCAAATATTATGTATATATGACAAGTGTCAGTATAACTTTTTGTTACACTGACAGTTTCATAGGTATCCAAACCTATGCTCCAATGTTAAGTTATTCGTGTGTATATGTAAAATGCACAAGCTTTAAGCTGTGTGTGTATGGACATGAAGGGTAGTGCAAATCATACTGTATACAATGGGTTAGAATCATTTTCAGTGGTGTTAGGTTATGTAGTTTCAAACTCTTTGCTACATTTTCTCTTGCACACGCCAATCATTTGCTTATTTTGTGGTGCGAATACTCCTTCTTATTAATTTGAATTCAAAGCACAAGCCTACCATTGTTTAACGTTACCCAGCAAGAGTGTTAAGTGATGACCACGTTCCCATTTCACTGGCTAGACTTTTGCTGCGATAGTTAATGACACCTGGATGAGGAGGTGTGCGCCAACTTCATCGCTCACCTGGGGTAGTGCATGAACCCACTGAATTAGAGCTACTCCCCCCAGCTAAGTGAGCCGTACACGTAGGTGCATGTTTGAGCCACGAACCACATAGAGCTGTGGAGTTTTGCCGAGTGATGTTGCTCTTTTGTTTTTTACTATGCAAAGATGAGAAATGCACAAACTTTTCAAAGATATGTCTGAAGAACTTCACAACGATACTTGAATTCTTTTTTTAATCACCCCATCCCATTTTAAGGTCATTGATGCTTCCATTGTTAATTTTATTTTTCCCCCTTCAACTTTAATGGTTTGTAATCTTTAAATGCACAACCTGAGCGTTTGTTCGATAAATTCCAATCCTGTTGGCTGCCTGTGAACAGAGATTCCGTCATCTTTATATGCCTCTTTTAGTTGAGTGTGCATTAAAACTTTTATTACTGTAGGATGTTGTAGCTTTGTGCTTTGATTGGTTTTCCTTAACTCTTGTTTCTGTGTTTTCTTGCACCATTGGTTAAGTGGCCACGCGCCTGGTATCCTCTGGGATCTAGTGGTCTCAATCAAAGGCTCACTGAAAATCAAAGCCGTCAATGGAGCAAAATAAATTCTCTGGTTAATGGTAAACACGTTCTGGATCAGGACTCATTTTTTTTTTTCGGAGTCATTGGGAGTCCTTTGTCTTGTACGGATCAGAAAGCAAAAAGAACGCAGTGAGAATCACACCACTGTTGATTTTCTTTTGTGGTTTTTAGTGTCTGTCACATGAGTTTAAAGAGTTGATGGCTAGCAGTCACATCCACACTTTGACTTGGTACCAAATTAACAATGAAGGTGTATGTGCACATGTGTATGTGCACAAACAGTGCATTTGCACGCACAGACACAGACACAGACACACACACAGACACACACACACACACACACACACACACACACACACACACACACACACCAGGAGGGGGAAGGAGAGAGAGGAGGAAGTGGGGAGAGGAGGTGAAAGGAGGGTGAAGAAGGAGGAGGCAGCAGCAACATCATCTGGTTATGTACATTACATCATCAAAAACATTTGAAGTAAGGCACCTTGACAGCTCATATAATACTAGCCTCCGATTTACATCTTTCCTGGTGAACATCTTGGATATCTCCCCACACACCCAGCTAGTGCGCCCCGTTGATCTGTGTGATGGATCCCAGACACACGTAGATGCTGACTACACTCCTTTAATCATGAAAGCCTCGCAGCCTTCTTCGATTCCTACAGGATACTCTACAGGCTCAATAATGAGCCTGTATGCTGCTGATCTCATGACCTCACCCGTTTGTTTTTTGGGTCTGACTGACTCTCGTCTTCCCTTAGTCATCTTAAAGTGCCCCTATGCTACCTCAATAATCATCTCAAAATGCTGGGTCCATTATCTGTTGTTCTGTTGTTTCTGTGTAATCTCATACAATAAAGGAAATGCAGAAACACTTAAAGAGCACAAATAACATTCTTAAGAAAGTAAGCCTGGTGTCATTCATAGTTGACTTAAAAGGGTTGGTCTGAAGTTTTGGTATGCTATCCTTTAGGTTATACTGTTCTTGAGGCTGACATTGAAATGAGTCGTTCATTCTCCCTTGATAACCGCCACCACCACCAAAAAGTGACCCGGAAATGGGACTCAGAAAACTCCCTAAATAAGAGCTCAATTAAGCAGATGATCTGTTTGCTTAAGATAAAATTCCTGAATAACTTAAAATTGAAGGTAGATGTCTTACAGATTAACATGAAAGGGTTGGAGACTTCTTATTACCTATTCATTCACCCAGAAGTCTGTGCTTCATGCTGTGAGTTTGGCAGGTGAAGGAACACAGGAAAACTCTTGCTTTACATTTGCTCAGTTAGTCACCAAGAGAACACATTGGAAGTAGAAGTCTCTGAGCCCGAAGTAATAAGTTAATTATTTGAGAGTGTAAATAAGAGTGAAAAGGAAGGGAGTGGTGGTCGGATAAGAGAGAGGTGCTGGGGGCTTCCTGACAAAGGTGAGTTTTGATGTATTTTGAAAGATATTTAGACCTCATCACTAATAAAATGAAAATCATACTCAAGTCACAGAAGCAGTGCACACAAAGACCTCTAGAAGGAGCTGGCCCTTTGAGGTAAGTAGACCCCAGTGTCTGATGCATCCAGCTTGAGTTTCCTTTCTTCCCTTCATTCACCTTCCTTCTCACCTTCGAGAAACACTGTTCAGACACAAGTCTAGTACTATTCCAGACCCTAAGTGCACAGTGATGAGATCTCAATTTTGTGAGCAACACGCACCTTTAAAAATGAATTAATTCATTCCCAGTAGACAACAGATTACTAGAGAGGAGGAAGGCTTTTTCCTGCTCTTGAGATTAGGTTGGTTTCAAAGAGAAGGTGGTATTTGAGCAAAAGGCTGTGCCTGCGCCACTGAACCTAATGCCTAAGGCCCAGATCTGATTGTCTAATCCAAATTTCTGGGTGTCTTGTTTGTGTCAAGGTTAAGATGTCTGTTACAACTTTATATTTTTGGATATTTTCCCACTAAGATGTTCATTATGAATCTGTCTTCTCTGCTTGGGATGACCAGTAGTGACAAAGAGGACTTCTTCACTTGAACTGTGAACCTTGTAGTATTTTTTCTGACCATAGAGATTCTGGGTAAGCTCAATCAGGAGTGAGAGGATGGGGAAGAATCATAAATGGGTAAAGTATCATTTAGTGAGTTTTCACATTAATGAAGGGTCAACATCATTTTCTAAAGGCAGCCATACTTCCCAGCCAAACAAAATTAGGGTTTGCCTCCCTGTTATGCCTTGAAGGGAAGATTGCTCTTCCTCAACCTTTCCAGAAATGCTTCATCAGGTCTGGCTCCTTGCCTGTAACAAGTCTGTAGACACAGAGAGGAAGTACCATGGCCCCTTGTTACATGGACTAGCCGTCCTCCTGGCATCTGGGGACATTCCTTTGCCAGCTGATTGCATGTGCGCATATGTGCCGTGGTGTGGCTGTAAAGACTTGTCATGACACCAGAGTCCACTTGTAGAGGAATGGCTGAAGTGTGATCCCTGAAAGCCCAATTGGCATGCTAATGCAGTCCTTCAAACATGGCAACACAAAACAAAACTCTCTGCATCTTGAGTGATCATCACAAGTGCATCAAGAGTCCTTCAGGGTTCTCTGGTGCCTTAAATAGCTTCTGGCCTTCAGGGGGTAAATGAGCCTGGAGCAGGGCTGCCTCTTCAGTTTCTGGTCTTTGGATGGTGACAGAAAAAAGTGATATGGATTATAGATTTCAGCAGCGAGGCCTCTGTTCCCCCAAGGGACACAGTCTGATAAGATCACTGTCACACAGAAGCAGTGCATGATGTGGCCATCTCACATAACAGCTTTACGTGCTTGCTCTATGTAGGTGAAGTGGTTATGCTGCCGGGATCACAAAGCACAAGTTCTGCAGGGGAGTTGGTTATCAAACTGAACAGAAGGAGAGCCAAAAGGGATGAAGGTTGTTGAGCTGAGCTGGAGAGCATGCACCTTGTCCTGAAGGAAGCAGCTTCTGCTCAGATCCAGCCGATTGTCACCTAATGGAAAATGGGCCTGCCATTGTCTATTCCACTTATTTTCCTCACAGAGCTACAGCCCAGATTTTTGCATAGCCCATTCCTCTAGTATCAAAGTTCATTCATGTTATAAAATAGTCTATGTGGGTCAAGACAGTACAAATGGAAACAGTCTTCACATAGCTTGCTGGTCCTTAGAAAGCAAGTAAGCTTAAACTAACAGGACACATTAAAATAACATGTGCATGTGTGGCCTCTTGTAGTTAGTTGTCCTATGAGTATGCAAATGTGGCCTTGCTTCCAGTCTGGGTGACGGACTGCCAAGTGAAGAGCCCTGAGTCACCTCTACTATTGGAGAGTGCTGTGGTTGATTACCTGTCTGTTATGCAGCGTCCTCCAGTACCTGGCTGGATCCACTTTTATAAGGCCTCTCTTTCTATTGTTGACTTTCAAGGCCTGTTGGATATAGGGATGAATCTACGGATCTGGGTCAACCCCAGGGTCCTTGTCTTGTTTTCTACATCAGTGAAATAAGGATTATTAACCTAATAGATGCAAAATCTCAAGACACAGCAGGAAAGGACAACTGCTAGTTGTTCAAAGCAATTTATTTCCTCATTAATTACAAAAGCCTACATGTAGAGATTTTTAGACTTGGAAAACAAAATCTTGAGAAAGTTAGTTTATAATCATACCATAATCTCTTTAATGTTTCCAATGCATCTTTGATTTTCTTGTCACCCTTTCCCCCCATCCCATTCTACAAAGATGAACAAAAATTTTCTCAGAGGGGTTGACTTTCCATCCCTGTGTGTGTGTGTGTGTGTGTGTGTGTGTGTGTGTGCCTGTGTGTATGTGTGTGTGCCTGTGTGTATGTAAGTGTGTGTATATGTGTGTGTATGTGTGTATGTATGTGTGTGTATATGTGTGTATGTGTGTATGCCTGTGTGTGTGTATGTGTGTGTATGCCTGTGTGTGTGTATGTATGTATGTATATGCGTGTGTATGTGTGTGTGTGCTCACTCCTATGTGCATGTCCCACATGCCAGTGGCTCCAGAAAAGGATAGATGAATATCTTGGGGGCAAGACAGCCTTCCTGTACTCCACCCATAAAGCACATCATCAAGGTGTCACACACCCAGAGTGTCACTTCATCGAACATCATGACGTCACTTCTGATCCTTCCAGAAGTTCTTAGTATACACAGAGAATGCAGGGGCTTAAGTTAGCAGCAGGGCTAGGATGGGGGCCCAGGCATTTCATGCCTCAGAGTCCATACTCGGATTCCTCTGTGTAGCAGATAAAACTCTAAGTCGGAGATTTCAAGCACATTTCTTTTTTTTTTTTTTTGGTTTTTGGAGACAGGGTTTCTCTGTGTAGCTTTGCGCCTTTCCTGGAACTCACTTGGTAGTCCAGGCTGGCCTCGAACTCACAGAGATCCGCCTGGCTCTGCCTCCCGAGTGCTGGGATTAAAGGCGTGCGCCACCACCGCCCGGCTCAAGCACATTTCTTGAAACGACTCTTTTAGCAAGTGTCAGGGCCAGAATCATGACATAGGGATCTCCATTCTAAGTCCCTTCCTGGGGTCAGGAGACTATGGACCATAGCACATATGACACAAAGAAGTGGACAAGCAGGGCAGCAGAAGCCCTCTGAGATAGAAGACCACAGTTGGAATCACTTGAGGCTTACCTGGGTGCAGCTGGTACCATTGCCAACCATTAGGATGAGGAGAGAGTACCCAGGTGGAGGGGATCTGTTTTTTAAATACTTCACTCTCCAAATAGGAATTCCAACCTTTTCTGAAAACTGAAGCTAGCCGATGTGGAGTCAGGGTGGCTAGCAAGGCTTTCTCAAGGAAAGGTTGCAGGCATATTCCTAGAGCACTCACTTGAAAAGGATGGATGTTTTCAGAAAGGAGACAAGAAGAAATGGCACTTTTCGATTGTGTGTGATGAGTTAAACAGTTTCCTGTTGCAAAGCTTATGAAGGAAAAATTGTAAGAATACCAATTATCACTAGGAACATCATTGAGTTAACACATTATGCAAATATCTGC